GACAGGAACTATTGATACTAGGAGTTGCAGAACATTGACTGGCTTGTTAGTGCCAACATGCCACATCCACATTCCCCATCTTGTATGCAGTAGACTCCTTAAGGTGGGTCTGTCTCAGAGAAGTGATACAGGGCTCTTTAGCCTAGGCCCCTCCCTTTCAGGGCGGCTGGACCCCAACCCTTCCTCAGTGGTGGCAAGTGCTGTTTCGATACAATGACCTTCGACCACTAAGGGTTTGCCAATATGGATAGAGAGAGTTTCGACCCTCTGTTGGGTGAAAGGATCGTGCCATTTAGATCCAAGAGCAAGACCTCAAATTTTCTGAGCAGAATGCAGAGGCTAGCACTTGTACAGGGAATCCAATCCCCTCAGCTTTAGAGAGCACATACTGATGGGGGAGCTTTGATTGGCTACTAATGACATCATAAGGCATTCTGGACAGTGATTGGTGGACCAGATTCTGTTCTGGGGCCCGCTGGCAATAAGTAGTCATCATCATGGAATTAAAACGGAGTGCATCTTGGACAGGAAACATTTCACAGGTTCAGTTCTGACTCAGAGTGACTGTAGAGAGAGGCCCCGGCCACAGAGCAGTTGGCAATACTGGTGACGCACAGAGATGCCGGCGTGGAAGGAGATCCTTGGCTGGCCGGCCCGCCCCCTTATCTGTTTGCTATTCTCCGCAGATCCAGCGGACTTGGCAGTGTGGCCAGGTGATGCGGACCGCGACACGGACCAGTAAAGTGGCAGGTTTGTACGCACTGCCCTGTCTCTTGTAAATGCCAGGCCTGGCCCGGCCCTAGTTTGTCTTTCAAGACTCAGATAGCCCCACCCTGACCCTGTAAACTCCCGGGCACCTCGATTCTCCGTGAGCGTGAAGTTGCTGTCCTCATTGCTGAGGGAGAATCTGAACTTCACATCTTGCGGCGTGATGTCCTTGTCCGTTGCCGAGATCCGCACGACCAGCTGGAGTGAGGGAAGGGGCGGGGATGATCAGTGGGGATTGGAGAGGCTTGGGGTCCAGGGATGGAGACTTGGGGTTTAGCCTGCACTGGGACTAAAACCTGCCACACTCACGTACAGGCTCGCCACAAAACCACTCTTTCTGTCTCCCCCACGTTACGCTCTGCAGCGCGCTCTCAGCCTTACTTTCTCCATGTCGTGCAATGGGAAGACGATTTCCTTCCCCGCAGGCCGCGGTGCGGGTGACAGAAACCCCAACTGGCGATGAGCGAGTGTGGCGCTGCCCTCAGCCAGCCGCAGGGTGGCACTGCCTTCCCCTCCTCACCGCTACCTCCCAGTCAGACTCACCTGGCCCGGGGGAGCGTTTTCACACACTTTTGCCTCATAGGGCTGGGCGAACTCCGGGGCATTGTCGTTCTCATCCAGGACTTCGATGTGCACCTGCACAATAGATTCCTTGCCTGTCGGGGTCCCTGCAGGAGAGAAGGCTGGTCAGCATGGTGTGTGGGCTGCAGTACGGGGTCTGCCTGGTGGACCCCGGAAGAGACCCGCGAACAGTGCTTGCAGAGCGAGAGGGGAAAGCTTCACGCAGCAGGATGCTTGTTAGAACATTACTCGGAAGACCCTAAAAGGTGATGGGCTGACCAAGAGGGGAATATTCGTGGCCATCGACAGACATGCCCATAGGAAGGCAGATTGAAATTAAATTCACCAAAAGCTTTTTGGGAAGACGGTTAGTACCATGGGAAAATGGCTACGGAGTAAGGTTAACTTTTAAGAAATGCAGAACATGGTCTTTTATGCAACCATTCTGATCTCCCTTCCATAAAAAAATGTGTAGGAAGTTACCAGAAACAAGACAAAGCAAAACAAAAACAGTAAAATTCTGCCAGTAGAATTATGGGAGGAAAATCAATGTCCGTTTTCTTCATCTTTTCTGTTTTTTTAATCATCAGTGATGACTTTTAATGTTAAAAAAAATCAGCGAGTAAGATCAGGAAGGAAGGATCATGGGCTGATGGGAAACAACGGAAGCCTCTGGAGGTTGGGCCGGGAGCCATGTTGGAAAAGTGGAGCTGGCTGGCCCAGCAAGAGGCAGGGGATTCCAGGGTAACACCAAGGGGTCTTGGCCAAGCCATCCCCTCTCTAAACCCTGCTGGTCTTTTAGGCAAAGTGAGAAAGAATATCAGGTCTTCTTCCAGAGGGTTGTGGGGATTTCCCCCTGTTGGTGAAGGATGCCCAAACCCTACACTTGCCTTTCCCTCTGGCCGAAGTTACCCCGATTCCTGGAGAACTCAGCCCTCTCGGGTCTGGAGGCGCGTCAGATTTTGTGTTTAGTGCATCAACAGCCCCTAAAGCAGCAGCACCTTGAAGCCCTTGCTCATAGAAACAGGCCTGCCAAACTGTGTGTTTAGTCATGCTTTAGGTGACTGGTATCTTGGGGACATCTGGGCCACCTGCTTTATAACTATGCTGCACAAACTATAGTGCGCATGAGATTCTGATTCAGTCAGGGGTGGGAGCGGAGCTTCTGCGCCTGCAACATGGTCTCAGGGGATTGTGCCGGTCCATGGGCCACCCTTGGGGATGGAGGCCCATTTAGCAACCCAGCTGAGTGGTGTCTGGCAGATGCTGATGGTACCTCTAGGGACTGAAATGACAGATCACGCTGGATTTGCAGGAACTAGGAGAGAAGAGAAATGCTCAGGTGTGGGAAACTAACCCTGAGGGAAATATGACAAGGGCTACAGTCCCTAACTGATCACAGAGGGAATCTGGAAAGCTGGTCGTCCACGGTAGGAAAGCCTCCACTCTGGTAAGTTAGAGGTAAAGTCCAAGTACATTATCCTGCTTTAAATATCATTCCCACAGATTCTCCACTTAACAGCCATGCTACCTTAAAGTGAGCACATGGTTGGTTATCTCTCCCTATAGAAACAGACATTAACCTTTTGCTTTTCCCACTGTGACACCCACCCCCCTTTGTACCTTCCCCTATTGCACGTATTAGATTTCCTCACCTGTGAGCTCAGGGCCCTTAATGTAGATACTGCCACCTTGTAACACATGTAATTACTGAATATGCATGCCTTAAGGCTACCTATAAATGTCCCAAATAGAAAAGGCTCTCTCTCACTTCTCCCAGTTCCACCAGGTCCATCAAGAGGAGCTGAGGTGAGCATGCTACCATAAAATGCATCTGACTCCTGTATTGTATTCTCTCTCCTATCTTTCTTATCCTCTATGAGTTTACTATCATCTTTGTATCTCAGCCCCGCACATTTGTGCCTTCTGGCCCTTTGGTTGTTGGAGGCTGGTTTCCTCTGACACCCGGGTCTCCTGGCAGACGGGCTCACTCACCACTAGAATCCAGTTCTCTGGCCTCCACGGTCAGGTTATACCAGGGGTACAGTTCTCTGTCCAGTTCTTTCTCGTTGCCAATGTCCCCCTGCTTGATTATTCTGAAGAACTGGCCCTTGTCACTGGTCTTGCGGATGGAGTATCTGTCAGGGTTGGAGAAAGTTCTGTGGTTTTCTGTTGTCTATAGCAGAGTTGACACCCCTCAGCATGGCGACAAGGCCCTTCGCCATCCTCCTGCCCACCACTGCACCTGACCCCCCAGCACAAGGGGTCCTACACAGTGGTTCAGAAGGATTCAAGGGCAGAGAGCGAATCTATTCGACCTTAATAATGTTGACATCACTGGCCCCCAAGTGGTGCCGGGGAGTCCAGCTAGAGCAGGGGTGGGCAAACCGGGTGTCCAGCCACATGCAGCTCTTTTGGCACATACGCGTGGCCCTGAAGTGAAATTGAAACTGAAAATAAAATGATCGTGGCTTCATTTTCAGATAATGGTGAGTTCATTTATTTGGAAAAATATATTTATGGCTTTTGAATAATTTTTCAATTGCTGCAAAGGACAGAATTGGCTCTCCGCCTCAACATGTTGCAGACTCTACTCAAGCCCTGCCTCAATGCAAAAACACTTTGTTCTAACAACCTGGCATTGTTGATGTTCACCTTCCTGACACGACCCCTGAAGACAAAGAGGGTGCATAAGCAAAAGTGGTGAAGAGAGCTGATGGTGGCCCGCTATCAAAGGAGATAGCATCTGGGGTCTTAAAGGCTTGAAGGTGAACAAGCAGACATCTAGCAGAGAAGCAACAAACCCACATGGAAGAAGCACACCAGCCTGTGTGATCATGAGGTGTCAATGGGATTGGGTAACAGGCACCAGAAAACCACAAACAAATAAAACGTTATTGCTGAGAACAAGGGGGTGTTGGAGCAG